AAAATTTAAAAAATAAAACAAACAAACAACACAAGCAAACAAAATAAAACACAAAAATTAACACAAAAAAAACAAAACAAAAACCCATTCAAAATAGACAACAGAAAATTACATCAGAAATTCAGAATATGGAATATGACAAGAGAATAAAGGAATAACGCAGAAATTCAAAATGTACAATATAAAAAAAAAGAGAAATACATACGAGTAGAAAAAATTCAAGATGTTCAAAATGTTCATCAAATTGTGGGGATGAGTCCAATCTTCTCTTTCATCGTTTTCTTGTTGTAGAAATTTTCCCTCCTCGTCATCATCATCTTTTTCATCGGTTGTTTTCTCCAACATTCGTTAATTTCCTAATGTGTCCTCTTATCACTGACACGTGTATGAAATCCACAAGTTTTTCGAATTCATAACAATCGAGCACACACACACACAAACAAAAAGCATTTTAACAATTCACAAATGTGTGGGATAAAGTTATGAATAACAAATATGAGGTAATCAAATGCGTAAGACCCACACAACAAATAATGAATAAATAAAGAAATACATAAATGAAGGAATAAATAAATAAATAAATAAATAAATAAATAAATAATTGGATAAAGTTACATCGACACGAATATTTTTTTGTGTGCACCACCTCGTCCATCTCAAGTACAATATGATTTTTTTTATGGAGAACTCTCACAGACACACCCTACTCACAAAACCTCTGTTTAACCAATGTTTTTCCTTTTCCGATTTTGTGTAGATTTATACTTTTTAGACGATCGGGGCGATGAGTCCTATCTTCTCTTTCATCGTTTTCTTGTTGCAGCAATTGTCCCTCCTCGTCATCAGCTGTTTCATTAAGTTTTTTTCTCCAACATTCGCTAATGTCCTGATTTGTCGTCTTATTACTGGAATGGAAGTTACAAGTTTCTCAAATTCCTCACAGATGAGGCATATACCTTTTTTCTGCGGTACAAGTTCATCGTTAGAATTTTTGTAAAGCCATCTGATGTTGAGACGGGTTTCGTTATTGAAGTCAGAGACGATGACAAAGATGTCTCTTCCCCTAGGTGAATATGACTGGCCGTCCGTCATGTTGAGTGGATGTCTGAGTGAGTGAGTAGCCTCATGTGATCGCTCGGGGTTTTTTATACACTCCCCGAGCTCGTTGACGTAACTGCATTATCTTCAGGCTCATCGAGTAAACACTCCGTGGCCTCGCGACCAAAATACTTCTCTAATAATAGCCTCTGTATGAAGTTTCTAAGGCCATCTTGCATCCGTACATAATCGTCAGAGGTCTGGAAAATACTCCAGCCTTTCTCAAAATGCTTAAAAATTTTCCCATCTCCCAGATCTTCAAACAAGTGTCCGTGCGCCATTTGGTTTTTGAATCCTGGAGGCCAGTCATCACTACCACACGCTGGGTATTCGGACACAGAAGCTTGACTTATAGCATCTAACGTCGCATCTAGGAAGTCAGACAAATCCATTTTTCGTTCTTTCTTTCTCTTTCTCTATCTCTCTATCTCTCTCTCGCGTGAACGCAAAGTAAGAACCCCTCTCTCTCTCTCCTTCACTTTTCAAGTGATATATTTCATTTATAAGACCACAATTATTGATTAACCACTACACTATATCCTGCATCCGATACACCCAAATCCAACTCATTGAAACGCGAGCGTGTATGGCCTACATCCCCGAGTCGACAGAAATTGAAGACTTACATCCGACTCAGCTAAAAATCGATCATTAAAATGTGGACGTGTAGGACGGAAAGGTCTTAATAACCCACGCATTCCCCCCAAACTTCCAGTTTGCTTGGGATCGAGGTAAATTTCACTCAGTTTTCTCTGAACGCTTGTCATTTTAACCTATCTATCTTCTGTTTTCTTTTAGAGCGCCCAGGGGTGGTGGTAGTGGTTTTGTTGGTAGGTAGCTACTGACCCTCGATCTGTTCCATACTCCGCCATCGAGATGAATTACCAATTGCCCCTCTTGGGACGTTTGCTTCTTTAAGTACTTTAGCAAAAGATGACAAACCTTTTTGGGGTTCTACTCTCTTCCTTTCATGAATCAAATCATGGATAAGGTCGATAATATTAATTTGTTTCTGGGAAAACATTGCTTCTGATCATCAATTGCTTTTTGTTATCCAACGAGATATCTGGAATCTTCTTTATTTGATCCCATAGTAATTTAGCTCTATTCTGGAGTTCATTTTGGTAGTGTGCTTATTACCACTGATTCCAAAAGATCAGTTCCTTCCATCGGTCCTCTGCTCGTGTCTCTCTCGTCCTCTCCAGTATCAATTTGGATTGTTCCCAGCGGTCTCTGACGGTGTTTATCAGTTATATTTAAATACCGTTGTAAGGCTCGTTGAGACAGTTGGGCTTTTGCACGATCGTCTCCTTCAGTGGTGAGAATTTCTTTCATTTCTCTATCAAGCGATGAAATTGATGACGCAAGCGCGTCTGGGGGTGAATAATTATTATTAATAGACCATCGCCACTGCTAGGGATCTATCAGTAGCATTATTTTGGCAGCCATTAAAAAAATGTATTATTTATTTATTTTACGATCCGATCAAGTTACCGAGAAGTCCCATCACTGGAGCGAGTAGAGCACCCAAAAATCCACCTTGCTGAAGTAACAGAGGTTTTTTTTTACAGATTGTCGTTGACATAACTTTCTCAAGTTAGTTTTGCATCGTCGCAATTTTTCTTCTGGGAAGCTGTCAGTGGTACCTTACCTTTTAAGACGTTATGACAGCACTCGCAGAGTGTGTTGATCAATTCTCCAACATATCACCAAAGAACTACCAGAGGGATACCTCGAACTTTACCACTTCCCATCTGAACCCCCAACATCAGCATTTTCTGCTCAATCCAAAACAGCGCAACTTTTTTTTTCTCCCATAAATCACAAGGACATACAACACTACCATAAATCACCTCGACCCAAAAACACTACCCAAAATCAGGTCGATTTAGAACACTACCCAAAACCACCTCAATTTAGAACACTACCCAAAACCACCTCGATTTAGAACACTACCCAAAACCAGGTCAGTTCAGAACACTATCAAAAATCAGGTGAATTTCGAGCCTACATAATATACTACTAACAGTCACTTAAGTGCTGGGGCGGGGAGGGGGGGGGGGTAAGTAAGACAGACAGAAACAAAAGAGGGATAATGAGACAGTAGCTTATTATAATACGGAAGCAGTCTAATCAACGACAACACAAGTGTTTTCCTGTCTCATTCTTCTTTTGGGGAGAAGAAACGAAAGAAAACGAGGCAAAGTGAAGTCTAATGGCCGCCTATTTCAAACCTAAAAAAGAATATCCGAAAACCATGTAAAAATCAAATGCAAAAAGTTCAATAATTTGAAAGTTTAAAAGCATTTATTGAATCTCCTTGAACAGCTAAAATGAGCAGAAATGAAAGACAGAATGCAACATGATATTTACAAAAGATGTAGGAAATGAAACACCACAAGTGTACAGAGCAGTCATTCTTTGATTTCCGCATCCGGTTGTTCGATGTCGTAATCTTTTCGAACTTTGATGGTGTTCAAGTAGAGTTGGCTTTCTTGCCGTGCGTACTTCAAGCACTTCTGCTGCAACGAATCCGTAGTGTCTAAACTCCCAGAATTCATAGCGACGTTGAAATAAGGTTCCGTCGTCACCGCCATCTCAAACAACCTAGGCGATGATGTCATTGTGCAGCCAATCACATTATGGTCTTCGGTCACGTGACGAAACTCTAGGAACCCTGTAAAGTGGCAGTCTTCCTTTGGGGGAGTTCCGTGCTTCATTTTCACACGAAAGCCTTTCAGACGAGGCGCCTCAAAGTCGGTCCATCGATACACACGAAAATGAGATGAACTGTCTAAATGAACTTTCGGGAACCTCGACCCAGGCTTGGCCACGTAGAAAGATCTATTGCCGTCCATCGGGAATAGAACCGTTTTGCCGTGTTCATCTTCACAAGAAAGACAGCGCAGCAGTTTCTTTTTCTCCGATTTCCGCTTGTTTAAGTACGTGATGCTCTCCTCTAACACATTCTTGAGGTAGTAAATGCCACAAGGGAGGACACCTTTCTGGTACAGATTTCCCTGGGAAAGAAAAAAAACAGAATAATAAGATCATGTCTGAAACAACAATTTTTTACTTAGACAATGGGTGGCCGTCACGGAAAATTTCGAGTGAATTAGTTTGCGAGGTTTAGTTGTTGCTGGGGTTTTTTTAGAGAAAAAAATTGAGAGCTATTCTGCACTAGTGGCCATCGTAAAGCGTTATTTTGGAGGTGGAACACTTGGAGTAAAGGATCTAACGCAACGAAAGAAGAAGGAAGAAAGAGAGGCAGAAGGCTTAGACGATTGTTGCGCACGTAGATTTACATAATATTTTATGACAAATATTTTTGGTCTGTGTTATACCACACTTAAAAACAACACACCTTCTGCTAGCGTGCTGTTTGTCAAAAATATGAAAATGGCTAACTAAAGGAAGCACGTCGGCACAAAAACGATCAAGTTAGTGCCCGGAAAAAGCACTACTTTTAAACAGAAACAACGAACAAGGGAAAAGAAGGCCTTATCTATGTCACCTTCATATCAAGCACATTGGTCTGTTAACTATAATTTTTTAAAAATAATATTATTAATACTAATAAAAATAATAAAAAGATAATAATAATAATAATAATAATAAT